GATCGGGTGATCAGGCTCGCTGACTTGGTTGAAACATGTCATCGGTTTCCAATTGCGCAGATCGATGCTCATGCTGTTGATCACTGGATTGTCTGGTCCAGACTCGATTATTTAAAGACCGCCGCCATATAGCTGGAATATTGCTGAGTGCGGCGTAAAACTAAACTCACTCACTCACTCACTCAGGAATGGTGCTTAGATGTGAATGAAAACAAGGACATATCATCCAAACATGGGAATATCTAAAAATAATAAATAATGCAAATAATTCTAGAAATAGTGAACATATATTGATAGCAAGTACACTCATGGAACCAAATAAAGGAACACATGAAAGGACATGTGTTCCTTTATGCTTTTCCGGCTTTTCACCCACAGTGCAATACAATGCATGCGAAGAAACCTGGAAAAGAATATAGGAACAATTTTGTTTCATGTGTTCCCTCATTTGTTTCCATGAGTATATTTTAAGAAAAATACATAATAGTTTTTTGCTTAAATTGTGTTTCACATGATACATAGTCTGTCAGCAGTCTACAGTTAAAAATACGTTGACGAGCTGTATAACAACTGCACGTTCTTAATCTAAAAGGTGAAGTTTTTATCTGTCTTAAATTCCCTCCTGTTAGTGACGGTTAAATGGATAGAACATTTTCCATTGACATGTGTATATCAAGAATGACGCCAATGACGTTAGGCGTTCAAAACTAGCACTGCTGGGCCTCTGGTACCACTCTTACAGACTACATTTAAAAAGCAACATGAGTTAGCTATTAGTGGAAACGTTGGACATTTAGCAGCTTCCTGTAAAATGCTTTGAATGCAGCCAATGTGTGTTTGATAGCCCGTCAGATTTAGTTTGAGATGTAACCCTTGAAGTATACTGTTAAAGGTCATGGCAATGTTTACAGACCTCCTAACGGTTCCTGCATGACGTCACTCGGACATGATCACATGGTCGCATTCATGGGGCTTACAGAAGTGTACCTTGTCTTAAAACATGTATACATATGGACAGCAGGTATATTTGCCAGCAAAGGTTTACGAGAACAATCATGCAATACTGCATGTCCGATTCTGTCTCTTCACAACAATCTAACTGTATTTATGCCACGTTTTAACTTCATCTTCACAACATTCTAACTGCATTTATGCCACGTTTTAACTTCATCTTCACAACATTCTGACTGCATTAATGCCACGTTTTAACTTCATCTTCACAACATCCTGACAGCATTCATGCCGCGTTTTAACTTCATCTTCACAACATTCTAACTGTATTTATGCCACGTTTTAACGTCATCTTCACAACATTCTGACTGCATTAATGCCACGTTTTAACTTCATCTTCACACCATTCTAACTGCATTTATGCCGCGTTTTAACTTCATCTTCACAACTTTGTAACTTCATCTTCACAACTTTGTAACTGCATCTCCACAAAGTTCTGTTTTCATCTCCGATATGTCTTCACTGCATTTGCATCTGTGTTTTTGAAGTTGACGAACACACTTGAAAATGCCGGCTCCTTAAACAGAATCACCTCACCCCTCAGAGACGCCACAATTCTTATTCACAACTCGAGAGTTATTCAAACACTGCATGCTCCCATTACCTGAATTGGTGAAATGTGATGGCTTAAATATGGGCTAAAATAGATCACGAGAGAATTGTGTAAACATCGACTGAAAAGACTACATGTTTTTTGTTTCGTTATTTCGGTTTTGACATTTAATCATACACGGAAATAACACGTTTATGTACATATCAAACAGAAAATACTACACAGTGTAAAGCAGTAATCAATGCACTGATTTTCTTAGAACGGTGAGATTTTCAGGCGATCCAAAGCCAAGAAGCATATATTTAACATTCGTCTGTAATCGTCGGATTATTCCTATTCATTAATGTGTAACGTTCATCTTGTAAACTGATGAAAATTGACGTAGAGTGAGACGATGAATGAATGAATTTTTTTTTATTATTTACCATTTTTCACTTGTTTATAGGTACAGTACATGTGGTCAATGTATGACATTGATAGGTACAATTGTGCTGATATACAATAATACAAAAGCAATCAATGATATTTCTAAAAAAAAGTCTGCAAATGCCATCAGGTACACCATAACTTCATAGTGTGTGTGTGTATGCATGCATATGTATATGTATGTACGTATGTGTGTGTATGTGTGTGTATGTATGTATGTATGTATGTATGTATGTATGTATGTATGGATGGATGGATGGATGGATGGATGGATGGATGGATGCATGCATGCATGCATGTATGTATGTATGTGTGTGTACGAATGTAGCTACGTATGTATGAACAGGGGGGGAAATGCATTCAATTTGTATCTATATAAAATAAGGTTGACACAGACAAAATTATTCGTCCCTCTCCTTATAGTGCTGGAAAAGTGTATGTAGAGATGACCAAAAGGAGAAAAAATTGTCAACACCACAAGACGAGGTGAGGTGAGCTGAAATTGGGTTTTTGTGTTGATAAAGGCGGATTTAACTGAGGGGCTGAAATCAAGCACGTCTCGCCATTCACGTTAGAAGTTCCACACCATGAATGAATGAATATTGCTTTACGCCGCATCATCAAATTCTCACCGCATCAGCTATTCTCGGTGAAAGCCGGTATCTAAGAATAACAACATATGTCTATAAAGACCAGTACACTCCAGCCAGTTTAATCAGTTTATCTAGTGAAGTGTCCTTGTTTTTACAGTGTGTCAACTGTTGCTGGCGATCTATAGCCAAATTTTATGTTGTAATGTCCTAAATACTCTATACCTTTAAGTTACCTGCTAGTTTTATATCTCTAACTGTGATATACAAGTTGTTTTACTGTCTTTTGGCGACAGATTATAAATTATTTGCTATTTTAGTCACGATATGGCTGAAATATTGCCAAAGAGACTTTAAATTCTAACTCACTCACTCACTCACTCACTCACAGCATCAACATCTCCTGTGTCTTTGCGGTATACGACTTGCAAATGGATTCTCTGGGTTTCAGTAAACCGGAAATCGTCTTCCTATGAATTACATGTTACAGAAACAAATTCTCTTATTCAGACTGGAAAAAAACCCAACCAAGATGACAATATGCGCGTACTGTTCTAGAAATAATTGTTGCATAATTGGTGATAAACGTATTGATTCTCAAATACTTCTTTTCTTAGTTTTCCCATACATCAAATAGATGAAAGGGTTCCAAACAGACGAATAGCAAAGCAAGCGGCGCAAAGTGATATTACCGGTTCAGTGTTGAGTTAAGGTAAACTATACACAGTTCAGGTAACCCCCTGTCTGTAATGTTTAAACGCGGGGCTCCACAGCCTGCAATCATCAACCATACAGGGGAACGCTCTGTATTACCCCAGTCAGTTGAAACAGTCATCGTACGTGTTTATTTGTACATGTCAGGAATATTGTTCATGAGGAATTGATATTACTATGACATTGATCTGCAATTCCCTATTTTGACATACACTAGATGTTCTCGTACCTTGCATGTGTTTGCAAGGTAGAGAAGGTTGACAGCAGCTGTTATCATCACTACTTGACCATAGATAATACCTTGTGTAAACGACGTTACTGGTGTATATTGCTTCTCGTGGCTATGGAACGGATTGTGTCACTTATTTGTTGAACTGAACAGCAGTCTCTAATTCGCAAAGAAAGAAGTGCAGCATTAGCGTGCAAATCAGACTGGGTCACTCATGAACCTCGATACAATCAAAATATCATTTCAGAAAAAAAAGGTAACATTTAAAAAAAAACGTGAGAAAGGTACAAGAGATGTTACTGACTTCTACTCACATATCGCGTATGGAGAAAGCTCAAAGCTTTCATGTCCAAAAACATTACAGATCGTTGTTATTATTGAATACGAAATCTCTGTTGATTCACTTTGATTACTATTTCCATATAATTTCCTGTGATTGAAAAGAAACGGAGCGTTTGTGTTTGAGTATGGACATATCCTGAAATGTACATGGTTTGTTATTTGTAATCATGTGATTAAAATTTGTTTAGCTAAACATGTCTTGGGCACTGGGTGCAGTGAACTCGCATGACCGTGAGGAAACAACTACAATGTGCTGTGATTGCTTAATGAATAACATGCATGATAACTGAATATAACACAAAGAGAACATGTTTGAACTATTTAAACTAATCTTCTAGTATCTAGTATGTATTTTCACTAAGATAGCTCTTTCATGTATGAGGAAACAAGTTTTCGATCTATTTGTTTAACATTTATAAAGACGTAAATATTTCACAGTTATGTTTTGTGACTGAGTATTCCTTAGCCTGAAATTTAATTTCTGGGATTAAAGAAACAGCCGCAAATCTGAACTGGATATGAATCGATATCCCACTTAAACAAATATAACCCGCAGTTTAGATTGCAGCACGAATTCCATCTGGAAACTATCATCAGTTGTACATTCGAATTCTTAATTAAACTAAACCGTCTTTAGTTTCTTTTAAAATCATCTGAGAAGGAAAGTTTGTTTTGGAGTTACAAAGACACGTACTCAGTGTTTGTCTATTGACAGCGAGAGAACCATGTTACCAAGCTCCTCCCTGTTCTTGTCCCTATTAGCCAGCAGCAGCTGTCTTTTCTGTTTCTGTGTCTCACATTGTCATGGTCAAAGTTTGAATCCTTTGTCTTGGCATGTAACTGAAGCACCGAATCCAACCTATCTACGCATGGTATGGGCTTGTTATTCTAAGAGTCAATCATGAGTAAATTCAGTTAATGGTGCTGTATAAAACTACAATATATTTTTAAAATACAATACAAAATCTAACAACCGTCTTTACGTTTATTGACATAATCATTATTGTCAATTACCAATCATTAGCCTGCAATTAATTCTTTTTCAAAACAGTTCAAATCGAGTTACTACTATTGCGAAAACGGCGTACTGACAGCTGCATTTGTTGGAACGTTTTGTCCAAGACCTCTGTGGAAGCTGTATCAGTTGTAAGCATCCACACTTCACAGCCCATGAAACTTCTCTGCTTGGACTATCTTAAGCTCGAGGAATCTCAAGGAGGCTACGCGAATATACTTGTGATCACGGATCATTTTACTCGCTACGCCATTGCCATCCCAACTCGCAACCAATCAGCGAAGACCTTAGCCAGAGTTCTGTTCGACAACTTTCTGGTACATTATGGATTCCCGGATTAACTCCACACTGACCAAGGGAAGAACTTCGAGGACAATATCATCAGAGAACTCTACCAACTTACTGGGATAAAGAAGACAAGAACGACGCCATATCACCCTCAAGGTAATGGTATGACGGAACGTTTCAACCAGTCTCTGATGAACATGTTGGGTACCCTGGATGAAGAGAAGAAGAGTGACTGGATAACATACGTACCTGCTCTCGTCCATTCCTACGAGACACGAGAGTGCAATATTCATTCCCTTCTACCTCATGTTTGGAAGACACCCTCCACTCCCAGTAGACGCCTTCCTTGGATGCGGGCTCGAACAAGGGCACGGTACTTGTACTCAGTGCACTAACAACCTCAAGAAGCGGCTACAGGTAACGTACAACATAGCTTGCAAGGAATCTTGGAAGGCAGGACAACGCCACAAGCAGCATAATGACAGGAAAGTGAGAGAGTCTTTTCTACAACCACATAATCGGGTTCTGGTGCGACTTGTCGGACTTACAGGAAGGAACAAGCTTGCCAACAAGTGGGGAAAAACGTCTGTGTTGTTGTGAAACAACCCACCAAGGACATTCCCCGTCTGCACTCCCGTGAAGACTATCCACTGCAACATGCTCCTGCCTCTGGAATCTGTTTCCCTCCAACAAGACATGCCCAGGACAAAACGACGCCAATCTGGAAGAAGCAAGAAATCGGCTTCACTTCCAGTGAAGGAGTTTCAAGCTTCAGACAGATCCGAGGAAGACAGTCAGGATGAAGAGGAAATCATACTGCTGCCCAGACTAAGGAGTCAAGCCAGAGCCACGGATTTGATTCCAAGTGCAGCTAATACTTCTATTCAACTCTTCAGTCAGCCAGAGACGACAGACCCAGCAGCTGACACTGTTATCTCCCCTGTCAGCACTTCTGTTCCGGAAAGGTCGACTTCAACGCTCAAGTCCTCATGTGGAACCAGAAGATGCCGCAGTCTCTCCTGTCTTCCTCCTACATCACCTGCCCCCAGTTGGACGCTCTGCAGACGGGAAGCCTACCCGACTCAGAACCCGTCCAACAAGGATGCAGAGTGATCAGTGGGTGACAAACTTCGGGGCTGTCATCCGTCAAGAATAGGAAGAGGAAGAAGTTTTTTTTTGTTTGAAGTTCTTATACATAGTTTATTTCATTTGTTTGGGGTTCGTTCAGTTTGGTTTGTGTCAGTTTCTTTCAATAATTTCCTGATCATTGAGACCCCACGAACTTTCATAGGAGTACTAAGTGTCTTTTTCTGTTGTTTGGTGTTCTTTGTTCCATAAGTGCCATTGAAAGCCTAACTTATTCAGTTGGGGATATTTTCACCAATATCTCTGTTTGGCTATTTTCCGTGTCCCAGTGACTCATCGTTGGTCATTTCCTTTGTTCTATAAATGTTGGGGACAACATCCTTCTATTTCCGTTTTATATCCCAGGAGGCTGCTTCTCCACTGTCTCTATGCAGATAGTTGGACGTGCCACCCGTAGTTAGCTACCAGCTAAATCACGTGCGTTCCATGCTTGTGACACTTTCATTTCACCATCGGACCCTGTCGGACGTACAACATTTTCTAACGTTGTGATATCCTTATTTCACAGGCAACAGGTTTAAATACTGAGGGTAACAACTAAGGGATCACATGAAAGGAAAAGTGTTCCTTTATTTTCTTCCAAGCTTTCTTCACAAGCCGTGTATCGCACAGCTTCTGAAGAAACCTGGAAAAAAATAACTCATCATGTGTTGTCCTTGGGGCAACTCAAGACCTGAACCCGTGACATAGGTTTGAATTGTTTGGAAGACCCACTATATAATCATGAGAGTGAGAATATTTATAACGTGCCTTTTCCAGAAAAGATATAATGCTCAAAGCGCACAATCTGATCATTATCACCCCGGTTAACCCAAGCTGCCTGTTAGGCGCTAGAAGGTTAATAGTCTCACGACTTATTTCACCGGGTACACATTTCCTGCTGGGTGAACAGAGGCAATTGTGAACAAACTCACTTGCCTAAGGTGAGACCACATGTATCACATGTGCTTCGTTGTGGGGCAGGAGTGAAGTCCTAGAAACTCTCAGGAGTTAAGCTGCCAAACACGGTCACCCATCCATAGACTGTCCGAGCCCAACGTTGCTTAACTTCAACTGATTTGTGACCTGAGCGCTATGCACAGGACCACGTGCAAGCACTGTACTGACATCTGTACGTAACGGAAAGTAAATTACGACTGTAAATATATCTAACAAAACAGCAAAATAGTTAAACTGTTTATTTGATTTGTCGATGCATATTTAGAAATCATTTTCATCTAATAGACATATTGATAGATTTATTTATTGCACACAAGAGTGTTTGTTTCCCGTATACACTGCGTATGCCGTTGAACTAGGCGCATGCGCAGTGTTGGCTTCGGAACAAAGTCGAGATGCATAAATCACATTAGATAATCAATCTTGACAATCTGCCTACACTGCCATTGCTACCTAATACACACGTTTCTACCTACACACATTTTGCTGTCTTCACACTTTTACTTAAGCACACAACCAGGAACCTGCAGAAATCCTTCAGTATTTGTATAGTGTCCGGAGGGTGCCCAGAATACACCTCGATCAACAGACGCTGTGCTGGGCGCCCATGTTGAAGACAACGGTGCACCTCCAACGTTGCTGTGATTGATGTCACAGACTAAGTATATGTTAAACAATGGCGATGTTTCCCCAAAGAAAAAACAATTATTTGAGTATACAACGCGTGTGTTTAGAAAGGAATTCTTGGCCTGGAAACGTGATTAAAAGAGAAACTGACCTAAGGTAATCTCCAAGAGATGTGATTGCATGTAGGGGGTACGGTTGCTGTAACCCTAATTTATTATGTAGTATTATAGAGGTAACGCTGTGTTTCAGGACATTATCATTTACAGAAGCCCTAGGTCTTCAATTAACTGCCGTGAAATACCTTCAGTTGTTGGCGATCTATAGCCCATTGTTACATTGTATTGTCCAAAAATAATTTTCTATTTTTAAAGATATATGCTAGCTAGTTTTAACTCAATCTGTGATAATCTAGGGGTTTAACTGTCCTTCGTTGACAGGGTTTTATATATTGTATGTATGTGTTATGAATTTAGAACTAGTTTTAGTCACGATATGGCTGAAATATTACCGATGTGACTTTAAATCTAAACTCACTCACTCACTCACTCACTCACTCACTCACTCAATTAACTGCCTGACGAAAGAGTGCAAATGATAATGCCCCTATTATATCTAAATGTATGGAATTTGTGCTGTAAAAAGACAAAACAGTATCATAAATTTAATTGTAAGTTTACCGTTAGGTCATAGAACAAGATTTATGACATCATTTTGGAGCGTGACGTCACCCGCTGTGTAACAATACTGATAATGGCCCGTCGTTAAGGAATCAGCTGGCCATTATCATTTGCCCAGCTCGCTCATTACTGATAACCAGAGCGCGGTTTCATCATAATTTTCCATCCATTTTGGCTATAATGACAAGTAACATCAGTATAGTTGTTTTAAAGGGGATTCACACAGTCAAATGCTTAACATATCGAATTTGCCGTTCTAACATATATACACTGATGAATTATTCCGTACTTGCTTTATTTTGGCTCTCAGTTTACTAAGTAAAGAGACTTCATCCCTTCTCACGTTTATGGTATTCATGGTGATGTGATGTTGGATGATTCAAGTTTTACGTGAAAATGCCAATCACATCTAAAATATTAGAAAATCAAATATTAAAGTTCATTTTGAATACATGCATTTCTATATTTCCTAATGGTTCTGGTGACACAAACAATACCACCTGCATAAACCGAAGCTAATGGTCGGGCAGTTTGAATGTATTAATTTGCAGATTAAAATAAATCATGATTGAGCAGGAAACCTTTCAAAAATCCTCGTTCGTTTCAGGATGCGTGCTGATATATCATACAGCAAGAAAATATGTATTTACTGCGTAAATCCAACTCTCGCGAGTCGTGAGTCCTTGAACCTGCATATTGTATGTCAGTTTAAATTGCCTGCATTGAGCACTGAACCCGGGAAATGCAGATTAAAAGTCAAATCGTTAAACACAAGGCATAATATGGCGTTCTATATCAGACAGCAAGAAAATTGGCCCAAATATTACAACAGGTCGTGTAATGGTAACGACGAGAGTGATTGACGTGATAGAAGCAGCATTGAACAGCATGACTTCACTGGCAAAATGTCGCTGCATGTTGGAAATGGAGTGAAACACCCCTTTTTAATTTGTTTTAGAATGTAGGAATAGGTGAGAGTTATGATGCTTTTCCTGTGAACGAACTATTGTCTCCCTATTCCCTAGTTCAAAAGTGTACTAGTTTAAATAATACTTGGTGTGTTTGACATCTATGCTGCTTCAGTAAAGTGTTACTTTGGAGCTGGAATGAAAATGTGCAGCACCTTTGTTTTCTTATTTGGACAGTAAGACTGTGGGGAAAATACCCATCTCTTTATAAGGATAAACGAACTTTGAAATAGCATTTCATTTTAGTACGTTTACCAGCTAATGTGGACTTCCTAAACAATATTTTAGATTGTCACTATAGATGTCTCCATGAAAGCAATGTTATATTACAATGAGGTCATTTTGACAGTCCACTGCGTCTTAATATAGCCTTAATATAATACATTAGATACGTAGTCAGAGCCTTAACATAGCCTCTGGCATTGCAGGGAACATTACGCGAAATGTATGAGATTTGACACTGTATCTTAGAAACAGGTCGAGACATAATTCATCGGTCAGATATAATAGGAGGTACACAAGGAAATAGCTTCACACACTGTAACCTTGTGGGAATCGTACCCGGGTCTTTGGCGCAACGAGCGAATGCTTTAACCCCTAAGCCACCCCACAGTCGCCAGGTACAACAGGAGCAGTCACCGGAGACACTTCAGTAATTGCACCCTGCAATAGAATAATACATCACGTCAGAAACATTTTACAAAACAGTCCAAAACAATCAAGTCTCGCATTACACTAAATTCTCTGAAGGATTTAAACACTCATTCATCAAAGCCGTTGAATAACTGTGACATTGAAACCATAATTAAACATGTTCGTTAATATGTCCATTTGGAAAGCTTCAAGGAAAAACTAAAAGCAAAACCAGACTGCGACGAAAACCGGGTTGCACATAAAACTCTGACGCACAAGGAAACATTTCATCAGAGCTAATTCTTACAAACCAGCTTCTGTTTGATCCTTTATCAGACCATCTGCCAGAATTGTCTTCAAAATGCCAGAGTTTATGTAGATGCACCGTTGATGAGCCTTGTCAGTGTCAAACGGTTGCCCCAAAATAGGAAATTAATGACCCACATGGTTCTTGATCAACCAAAGGCATTGCCTCATAGTTTACGATAGGTGTGCATCAGCCACAAATTTCGGTCCCTGGTATCCCAGGCTTTAATATACACATGGTTGTCTGTTTGCGAATATCTGGAAGATGCTTACAGATGGGTGATCTGCATCCAGCTAAATTGACATACAACAGAAAGTCCAAATCTGAAATTTTGGGGTTGTTTAAAGAAAATCCAACAATGTAAATACTTTGAAATGTGTTTTGTTTGTGACTAACACTGACTGACTGACTGAGTTTAGTTTTACGCCGCTTTTAGCAATATTCCAGCAATATCACGGCGGGGGACACCAGAAATGGGCTTAACACATAGTGCCCATTTGTGACTAACAAATTACCAACACTGGTGCAGGCCACGAGACCTTTTTTGCGTCGTATTATTTCAGAAAAGGTTTCACGTTTGGAATTCTAATTTCCCAAATCGACAAAAATGTCAGTAACAAAAATGATGTTTGATGTGCATCATGTTTTCGAGGACAATTGACTTGCCCTTGCATATGTTGGCCATTGCCATCGTTGGTGCAGGATAAACTGACATTATAGCAAACACCTGATATCATCATTGCTCAGGATATAAGGAACATCGTCCAGTGGGTTCAGATTTAGCAGCAATTATAGCTTTTATTTGATACACCAGATAGTTTTTGCAGCGTTGGGGTAAAGGGGCTATAAGACCATCCACAACATTGTTTCTAATTCTTATGTCCGAGGAAACAGTTGGTAGAACAATCAGGGAGTGGGGGAGGGAATTTAGTTTTACACCGCACTCAGCAATATTCCAGCTATATGGCGGCGGTCTGTAAATAATCGAGTCTGGACCAGACAATCCAGTGATCAACAGCATGAGCATCGATCTACTCAATTGGGAACCGATGACATGAGTCAACCAAGTCAGTGAGCCTGACCACCCGATCCCGTTAGTCGCCTTTTACGACAAGCATAGTCGCCTTTTGTGGCAAGCATGGGTTGCTGAAGACCTATTCTACCCCGGATCTTCACGGGTCTAGAACAATCAGAAAGGGGTCTTCCATAGTACATGATGGCAATTTAAATGTGAACAGTTGAACAGTTGCGGTATGCGTACAGGTTGACGTGTCAGTTCTTAACCATAACAAAACCCCGGAGAGATGATATGAAAGAAAACATAATACTCTGAGGAAAGTTATTTTCATTCTTTGGATATCGTCCCACTAGATTGCAGAAGTTGTGTTTAGCACACAGAAGTGAAATGAACACAACCACACGCATCGCATGTGGAGATTCATATAAATTTTACACCTTTACAGTAACAAAGAAACCCATATTGGAGTCCATATTTATTGTTCTCGCGGTACACTATAAATATTTACACTTTATAGAATGTTTGCCTCAAAACAAAAGTAAACCCACTGGAACAACTCTCGAACATGTCATCTGTGTAATGAGCATGTGTGGTATTTTCTTTCTAAATGACAGGAAGGAACAGGTCTTTATATGGACTTCCCACTGAAGGCTTTCAGTGATGATGCGAAGCGTACCAACGATTTTGTGGATTTTACAAAGGCTCTTCCGGTTGTTAGGAAAAATAGTATGCGGGGAATGGCACTAGTTTTAGTGGATTAAAGCATGTTCTTTGTAACCAAGGAACATTATATGAACGTTTTATTTTGATCTAATTCTTGTTGTAATATAGGCAAACAGTTTTTATGTCAAATAAACTGGTACCATTGACCCTGGAGCATTCAAAACAATTACACTATATTTTTGTTGATATTAGGTTACGAAAGATGGAAAAAGGTCCTCTTTAATAATTGTTTCCTTTTATTTTGTGCTATCGCTCTTACACAACGACATGCATGCATATCTGTGTGCTTACGGGCGTGTCAGTTTCTGTCAGTTATGCACAGGTTCACCACAAAGACACTACAAGTTCACAAAGATACACTAATCAAGCACACTACACTGAGAAAGGGAAGACCGGTGTAAACCGCGGATTCGGACATCGTAAACTGTCGAAAACAGACGCTGTGCATTTACCAGTGCCTCCTTTGGATCATTCGAATGTGGATCATGACATCCCATTAGAAACTAGCAGATATTTTGGATTTCAACCAATACTGGACTTACTTGACACACACACGTTTTCAACATACTTGTATCTATTGATCGAGTTGACCGTTACAGCTTACGCTTACATCTATCATTCAGAGAAAAACGAAGATATATAGGTCCATGTGCGTATACTGGTTTGTGCCGCATTGCAGCAACGATATGGGTGTGTAAATGTGTAGCGGCCATAAAAGTTCCGAGTCCCGTACTGGGATTCGAACCACGAACCTTCTATTCCGAAGTCGGACGCCTTGTCCACATGACCAAAGAGATTAACCCCATCAGCAAGCTGACAAGGTAAGGATGTCATCTGTGGGATGACTCCACGCCCTGCTACAAGTGATCTAGACATGTCAAAGATGACCACAGGATAATACTTACAACACACACCGTCAGACACCCAGTCTGACGGGACATGCGTGATCAGCTCTTATTGGTCATCGGGGTAGTCTTGTGGCTTAACTGTTCAATTGCTTCTTTGGGTTAGATTGAAACAAGTGGTGGAATGAGAACAATGTACATGTGCTGACAATTTGTTTAGGCTACTTTTTTATTTCTTTTGTCGTTAATTCCCGGAACATACCTCATATTTATTCACTGATGGGTTATTTTGACAACCATTGGCTACTGATTGTCAACGTGTACACTGTACTCTACACCAGAAATCATCTGTGGTACCTGTGTAAGAACCAATAAGTTAAATTATAAATCTTCTACCAAAATGTCATATTTACGAACTCACCTAATTTGCTTTATTGGACTGATCCAGCTGTAATGTGTTCGAGTTCCCCAAGACTGTGATGTATGGTTTGTTTTCGCCAAATATGATGACATCTCTACCTCCTCACTTACATTAAATGGTCAATATGAAACTGACACACTTCATTAAGCGGCATTAAATAAGAAAACTTTTATTTCTGTGGACACAACACTTTGTTGTTTAAAGCTTCACTGAGCAATACAGGAACTTACTGACCATGGTTTGTACAACAATGGAGACTGGGTTACACAATTAGATAAGTTACATAAGTAACGATCTCCACTACTGGAATACAATGGCAAGCAACAAAGAACCTATCATGCAATCCCGATCTTAAGACAAGTTTAAGTTCCTGAAGACCGACTCTCCTCCGGAATATTACAGGCGCCTCTATGACGTGTACAATATGTTTAGGGTAGATAGAATGGTAATTGACTTTGAATATAATGATTTATTCTTTTACGAAAAAGGATACGATGTCCCTCAAATGTCCTCTGCAGCACATGAAACGTCAACCGATACAAGCATCGGATTATCAGCGACCGACTTGAATAAGCTGCTTTCGTACATCTCCCGACGTTCAGGGCAGTCTTGGAGTCTGATG